TCTCTCAGCCACGTATATTTTGTTGTCCATTGTGCATCAAATCCAGAGTTTATTTTTTTGCACCTTTCGTTGTAACATCATCTTCTACCACTGCCGACAGGGGTACTGGTGACCGCGTTGCTGGTGGGTTTATCGCTCGCGACCAGGGGCCCAGCAGGGCGTTCTACGCGGAACCATGACGTAATATTTCTGCTGTTTGACATCGTTGCTTCTTCCAGCCGAATATGCTACTGAGAAAATACGCGCTATTACCCCAATTAAATAGGGCGAAAGTGTTTATTGTCGAAGTACGAAGCTGTATTAGTCCATTGTTTTTGCGTAATTACTGACATGTTTCCATTCACACCTGATTTGGCTCACAGTACCGGACGCTGATGACGCTGACTCACAGATTCGCACGTGTATTTACAAGCTAAAACAAAGAGTAACAGGAAATGCCACAGAGTAGCGGGCAATCTCTCAGAGTAGCGGCATAAATAATAGAGGAGCGGCCCCGCTACGCTAAAACGCTTTGGGGAGAACACTGGTATTCACGTAGAAAACTGACACAACTGGCGTTTAAATTCTAAGTGACACTGATCAGTCCCTCGTCCAAGCAGAAGCCCGCATTTCGAGATGTGCCGAATGCGGTGGGTCGAGATGTTCAATTTGGGTCGAAATGTCTTGGATCGAGATGTCTAGAAATCATTTATGGAATAAGAATCCGGGCTTTGGCTGTCAATGCGTTATCACCAAGTAAATAAGTATGACAATCACGCTAACTCGAGTCCACTCTGAATTTGTCTGTATGTGTGTTGCTCTCAATTATTTGTGTTATCCAATTAAACGCCACCAGTCACGCACTTGTCCTCGTCGTGACCCGACGCGTTCACCCATTTCAACTGAATCTATTTCCACGCGGCGGTCATTTATTTAGTAACTGTGATTTGTCGTTTTTTTTAGTTATTTCCCTATTTTATTGATCACTATAGTTTAACGTCTAGAATGTCAAAATATGTTTTCTTTTTATTTTAATTTTGATGCTTCTACTGGAAATGTACTTCAATAGAGCATGTATGATATGATTCTTTATGGTTTTCTATCTACTATTGTTGAATCAAAATGCTCTCATTATAATTTACAGATTACGTAGAAGAGCTCTTCAATACACTAGACTTGTATGTTGGAGGAGATTGTGTATTACATACACTTGATGATGCACCCCTGCCACTCAACAGCCAGTATG